GAGAGGTGTGAGGGCGGTGGGTGCTGGGGGGCTCGGAGAGGTGTGAGGGCGGTGGGTGCTGGGGGGCTCGGAGAGGTGTGAGGGCGGTGGGTGCTGGGGGGCTCGGAGAGGTGTGAGGGCGGTGGGTGCTGGGGGGCTCGGAGAGGTGTGAGGGCGGTGGGTGCTGGGGGGCTCGGAGAGGTGTGAGGGCGGTGGGTGCTGGGGGGCTCGGAGAGGTGTGAGGGCGGTGGGTGCTGGGGGGCTCGGAGAGGTGTGAGGGCGGTGGGTGCTGGGGGGCTCGGAGAGGTGTGAGGGCGGTGGGTGCTGGGGGGCTCGGAGAGGTGTGAGGGCGGTGGGTGCTGGGGGGCTCGGAGAGGTGTGAGGGCGGTGGGTGCTGGGGGGCTCGGAGAGGTGTGAGGGCGGTGGGTGCTGGGGGGCTCGGAGAGGTGTGAGGGCGGTGGGTGCTGGGGGGCTCGGAGAGGTGTGAGGGCGGTGGGTGCTGGGGGGCTCGGAGAGGTGTGAGGGCGGTGGGTGCTGGGGGGCTCGGAGAGGTGTGAGGGCGGTGGGTGCTGGGGGGCTCGGAGAGGTGTGAGGGCGGTGGGTGCTGGGGGGCTCGGAGAGGTGTGAGGGCGGTGGGTGCTGGGGGGCTCGGAGAGGTGTGAGGGCGGTGGGTGCTGGGGGGCTCGGAGAGGTGTGAGGGCGGTGGGTGCTGGGGGGCTCGGAGAGGTGTGAGGGCGGTGGGTGCTGGGGGGCTCGGAGAGGTGTGAGGGCGGTGGGTGCTGGGGGGCTCGGAGAGGTGTGAGGGCGGTGGGTGCTGGGGGGCTCGGAGAGGTGTGAGGGCGGTGGGTGCTGGGGGGCTCGGAGAGGTGTGAGGGCGGTGGGTGCTGGGGGGCTCGGAGAGGTGTGAGGGCGGTGGGTGCTGGGGGGCTCGGAGAGGTGTGAGGGCGGTGGGTGCTGGGGGGCTCGGAGAGGTGTGAGGGCGGTGGGTGCTGGGGGGCTCGGAGAGGTGTGAGGGCGGTGGGTGCTGGGGGGCTCGGAGAGGTGTGAGGGCGGTGGGTGCTGGGGGGTTCGAGGTGGGAGGGTGGTGGGTGCTGGGGAGCCCTGAGCCAGGAGGGGTGTGAGGGCTGTGGGCCCTTGAGGAGTTCAGGGTGCTGACAGTCCCCCAGGCTGGCCTGGAGGCAAGGGGGCTGGTGGCAGCTGCCTCCTTTGGAGGGGGGAACCAGTGTGGTGGGGGTGTCCTACACATGCAGCACTGTTTGAGGAGGGGGTGCAGGGGCAGGAGCTGCGCTTGGAGATACCCTCCTGTCACAGGCCCAGGAATGGAATGGGGGCAGGCCCGGGCACCCTCTGGCCTGCCCAGGAGCCACAAAGTGCAGGGCTAGTGGGGGTGGTGGGGCAGCCCAGGACTCAACATTAGGGATCAGGGATCTTTGAGGTGTGACATGTCTGGGAGAGTGGGCAGGCAGAGTGCAGGCACAGGCCTCTCAAAGAGCACAGCTGGACACCCTGAGCCTTTCCTGCTTGCTTGTGACCCCTTCTGGCCCTGACTCATGATTTTGTACTTCCAGAGTGACAATACAGGGAGACCAAGGGAAGCTCTAGGTACCTTGTACTGTCTTTAGAGGTGGGTCTAGGCTATCTGTATTTCATTTAGAAGTCTGCTTATTTGAATTTTTATTGCTGAAAGTTATTTCTTTAATTTGTTGTGGACTCTTCTTCCCCAGACCCACTGTGTGCCCCTTCTTTTGCCTTCAGTGTCTGAAATCACAGGACTATTTCTTGTTACTTGTTCTTTAAAAGTGTTGTCTGCTTTTTGCAGAGTCTAAACAAAAGCAATGTTTCCTCCTTAGTTTGTAATTCAGCTAGTACATGTGAACTTTTTCTAAGGGGGGAGGGGAGTAACTCCTGTCTGAATGGCTACTGTAGGAAATCTTGAGAGTGCTAAATCCTTTTCTCAGATTCTGCAGTGACAGAGGTGTAAAGCAGCTTCATGAGGTATTAGACAAGGTCATGGGCTTCACCTCGGTCTATTAAAATCAGTAGCCTGTATGTGATCCCCAGGGGCTGGAGAGGACTGTGTGGAGGGATGTGCCAAGGGGTCTTCTCTAGTCAGCACAGAGTAAGAAACCAGGTTTTGGCCTTGGCCTTCAGGTGAGATCCTGAGCTAAATGGACCATTGATCTCTTTCAGCCCAGCCATCCCCAGAGCTCTAGGAGCTACCACCTTTGTGCCATCTTTGTTGTTGGTGCCCAGCTCTTCCCTCAGAGGCAGATTTATTCCTGGCTGCAACCACTGGGCGTAGAGTCTGTTCCTGGCACTCCTCTGAGCCTGGTTTGGCTCAGTAGCAATTGGACATGAGAAGAGCACATACTGGAGCCTCAGAGTGAAATGTGAAAACAACTGAAATGAGCCTCTTCATGTAATCTTCCCTTTGAAGGTCCTTTTTGGAGCAGGAACAGCATGAGGATGCTCCACTTTTAAAGTTCTGAAATGTTTAGACTATTGAACGACTTACATTCCTGCTTGGACATTGCTCTAGCTCTTGCTGCAGTTTAGACTGGGACTTTGTAGCATTTTTCAGGAAATTCAATGCATTCTGCATTTTGTTTTTGGTGGTTTTATTGCTGAGTTTTCGTCCACTTGTCAGTCAGTAGGCAGACAGGTCATCTAAATGGTGAGGTTTGATTTTTGGGTTTATTGATGTGTGAATGGCCCCCAAATAGGTTACTCTGCATCCAGGTTTTAACAGAAACTCAGTGTCAGGTAGGTGCAGATGGAATTCAGCTCCGTTTACTACTGATTGTGTTTCACTTCTCAGTCATATAAACTATTTGTAGTAGTTTGGGAACTAATCTCTTTTTTTGTGTGTGTGTCTGCTGCTTCTTCCCCCCCGCCCCCCCCCCCCCAAGGCCCTTGGTACGGATGGCCTTAATGTACCTACTAGAAGATATTCTACTGGCAGCAGAAGAGTTGATGTGGTCTGGTGTAGGGTGCAGCGGTATAGTCTCTTCTGAAAAATAGAACATTGGTTTTGTTTAAAACCTTGTGTACAAAATATTTGGCTTGGGCACTTACTGTAAGAGATATGAGATAGAAGCTACATTGACTGAGGTGCTCTGAGTCTTGAGCTTGAGGGAAAAGTCAGTGAAGTATGTATAGCCTGAGACTTGCTGAAGCCAGTAGCAACTTCTGCAAACTGTGAGCTGCTGTCTTGGTTTGCTAAATTTAACTGTGCTGTGTAAGAAAGGAAATAGCTGGCAGAGGCATCTGTGTCTTAGATCAGAAAGCATACGAACATAAGACTGCCTTTGAGGGAAGTACAAGTTACTGTGCGTTAGGTTGTAGGGCTTTTTAAACTCTAACTTGAGAGAAAAGAAAGGGAGGTGGGTCTGCTCCAAGTTCAAAGTTAGAGTATAAAGGTAATATTAATATGATCCTTCAAACAAATGAATACTAAGGTTCAGCTTGGTAGTAATACAGCATGTAGGTACAACAGTAAGGCAGTTTCACTGAATGAACAGAAATAAAACTGCCGCTACTGAAATGTATATGGAATTGACTGTGGTGAGGAAAAGGGCCTGGCTCATCTCCATCCTGGAATATGGAAGAAGTTACCATGTGATGCCGAATGTCTGATAACAGGGTTTTTTATTGAATCTGTTAAGTCAGGGATACTAACAAAATACAGAGAACAAGCTGAGTATACAACAACATGCACTGAGCAAGGACTGAATTAACTGACCCATTAAAAACTGGATAACACTTTTTCATGTGGCTTGTTACATGGCAGGTAGTGTAAGACTAACCTTTTTCATAAACATGCCCTCTCTAGAGAGAAAAGTTTTGTTGTCTAGTCTCTTCCATAAAGCATTTAGTATGGAGTCATGTGGAAAATTAATTACTGTGCCAAAGGGATGGAGGTTTGTGCAAGTATTACAAGATGGGTAACAAACTGGTGAGAGGGAGGGCATTTGTACTGCAGTGAAAAGTAAATTGGAGGCAGAAGTCACGAGACACACATTACTGCTTACCCATGACCTTGGCATAAAAAGTTAGAGTATGTGTATGACAGATATTTGTAATGAAACCAATCTGGTAGCAATAACCTACAAGAGTGATAAATCTATTGCACAAGATGAGCTCTAAAACTTTGGACTTAAGTTTTTATAATGGTAGACTCAGGACAAGCATGTGCATCCACAAAGTAATAGGCACAATTTCTGTTAACTGGGGTTCATCAGCTTGGAAAGAAAAACTAGCAGGTGACTGGGTTACTGTAGGGACATGTCTGAAAGACAAGTGTGAGCTTTAAGAGATGCTTCTAGCACAGTTGGGAAGTGTTGGTGCAGTGTTTTGCAATGCTCCACACAATGAAAAAGTACAACAGAGAAATGTGTTTTGTTTTGTTTTAAATAAAAAAGCATCACCAAGAAGCTACTTCAGGCAGGCCTATGAGATGATCAAGGGAGATGTGCTAAAGTGATGTGACATGTCTTAATAATTTTAATAATGGGAACACATCAGGAGAATAAGCTCCAGGGTTGAGAAGGAGGAATCACTGAATCTGATGATCTGAGCTTTCAAGCCTCTGAACAACTGCATCAGGTGCAGTGAGGATAAGAAATCTGGCTGGGCTGAAGGTATTACCTGTTGTTTCAAGGTGTATGAGGATCCAGGAGGTGTCTTCCAATTCTGTGGTTTCTCTGCTAAATGGCAAAATATTTGAATTAAAGTGTGGTGTTGTTTCGTTGGTTGGTTTTTTCCCTTTCATCTGTCTGGCCTGCAGAATACTGCATTTTTGTAAAGTAAGAGAAACAAGTAAAATGTCTGAAGTCTAATGCTGCCAATACTAAGTCTTTGCACTTCCAGATGACAGCTTTCTAATTTAAGTATTGCATCTGATAAAGGTGAATTCTATCTAAACCCTTGTCCTGAAAGAGAAAGATTAAATTAATCATCAAACTGTTGGCTTGTGTCATGGCTCAATTTAAATCTTGCTTTACCCAAACAGAATCAAGTTCAAAGCACTGATTTTAGTTTTTGAAGTTGTGATAAATGTGTAAATAATTGAGTCAAGTCAGTTCAGCCATGGAACTTCAGTTCTTTTATTTGATTGGGATTTGTCTGAGACATGTCCTGAGTGCTGCTACAGTTTGGGAATGAGGAAGTCCCTGGTATGCTCAGTGCAGTTCCTTGCAGCTTGCTGATGGGGCTTGCTGCCTTCTTTCTCTGTGGTGCTGCGATGCTTTCCTCATTTGCTGCCTCCTTTCTCCTGCTTTGTCTCTCAGTATCTCCTCCTGTTCACTGGTAGGTTGCAGCCATCCCTTGCTGCTGCTGCATCCCACGTAACTTGTCTCCACCTGTCTTGCATAGGCTTTCGATAGTACCATCTGAGTGATGCTTTTTACCTGGCTCCATGCTCTTCAATTTGGCTTAACTGAAATTAGTTGATCATGCTGCATACTCCAGCAGAGAGCACTAGGGAATAAAAGCAAGACCTCAGACAGACCTTAGCATTTTCATTCCCTCATCAGCAAAACTTTTCATTACCTCCCTTCCCCCAGACCTCAGTCTAAAGATCCAACACTGCTTCACCAGAGACAAGACATTTTGTGGTGCCAGGCTGACTAGTGGCGTCCTGTGCAATGAGGTTTCTGCATCTACATCCTCTTTCTGGAACTTGGTATCAAATGTACCTGCTACAACTGTGGATGTTCTGGAAGTGGTGTGTATTATTTGCCACCATTTGTCTTAAGGCTGTGGATGGTCTTTAGTTGAGGACAGTGGGTTTTGTCTGTGCGTTGTAAGCAGACTGCTGCTTGCCTGCCTCTCCCTAATGGAACTTGGTTAGGGATGCTGTATTTCCAGCATCTGAACTTCCACTTTCTTAGTCAGTCCAGGTGGTCCTAATGAGTTAGACATGAGGTAGAGACAGGGTTTAGTTGCCTGATGTTGCCTGGGAGGTGAGAACTAATTTCTGTGCACTGGGGTTCTGGGGCTTAGACCTCTGCCTGTCTGTGCTTTAAAACAGGACTGAGACTTCTGACAGCTTGTTTGTTCATATTCAGATTCTCAGATGCTGATGATTTGTGTTGGTAGCTTTTCTTGTTTCTGCTTTTTAAAGAGAGGACCTCAGTAGGAAAACTCCCTTACACTAATAACCAAAGACCCTAAATTCAACTGTTCTATTGCTGCAGCAGTGAAAGAGAAGCATTGATCTCTCTTGTCCAAAAGCTTGAGCTAAGATTGGATCCTGATACTGAAAACACTTTTCTCTTTTCTCCATAGGTTCAGTACTGTGGCTTGCTGTTTCGCCATGAGGGCTGGCCCCTGTGTATTCATGAGAAGATTGTAGTCCAGCTGGCTTCCATTGACTGGCGAATCTTGAAGCCTGGTGACTTCTACCTGCAGGTGGTCCCCTATCTGAAGAAGTCTCCACGGATTGTATTGAAATGTCTGGCGAAAGACAAGCATAATGTAGAGGAAGTCGTGATACCAGAAGTTTCCTATACCTCTATTTTTACTCTGGAATGGTTGAGTACTTTCAATGGAGAGCGGATGGGTATAGCACTGGAAAATTGTTTACTAACCACTGATGATAAAATATTTCGTGTCCCCTGGGATAAAGTGGTTAACCCTGAATTTATAAATAAACCAAAAGTAATTGAAAACAATATAATCTCTCCAGAAATAATAGAGGAACATTCAGTTTTGTGCCTCTCCATGGACCATGCTGAGTGCAGTTCATCAGATCTAGGATCTCAGTATCTACAGGAACAAAGTCCAAATCAAGACAACCTGGTCATTAGCAGCACAGTTCCACAGATAAGTGAAGCTCCTGTCAATGGTGTTTGTACAAGTCCTGTGCCTCAAGAGAACTTGAAAAGTGACCTTGAAGGGGAGTACGTTGAGCTGACAGAAGTGTCACTGTGCCGGTTTGGGCCACAAACAGGCTCTCTAACCGAGTCACTAGCTTTAAATTATCTAACTCAGCCCAGAACACGAGTGAATGCATCTAAAGGCAAGCACAGGTTTATTGTCATTCAAGACAGTACCTACTCCAAGAACTTAATTCAGTCAGCACTTATGCAGAAGGAGCACTGTCAAATGGACACTCTGAGGACGACTTCTACAGAAGTTCTCAAAAATGTAATTCCATTGGAAAGTGACAAGATGATGGTACATGAAGAGCTGTCTCCAGAAGGTGAGCTGATACCAGGTGGCCCTGGAAACATGGGGAATAGCTTTCCGATGGCTGATTCTCCTGCCTGCAGTGCAGAGGATTCATCTGCAGAGCAGGAGACCCGCAGCGAACACTCAACTGATTGGCGATATGCACTGTGCAGCTACAGTGACATGGGTGCTGGAGATGGTGTCAACTGCAAAGCACAAATGCCTGGTGTACCTGGAAACATGGAAGGAGAAAGTGATGGTCCTAGCGGAAATCCTGGTGTTGGAATGTTGGAGCAGAGCCTAGAAACAGTTCTAGATGCTGCTGCTGCTAAAGAGGAGGAGATGCTGAGAGTACATGGAGAACCACTGACCGAGGGTCAAAATGAGGTGACACAGATGGATGCCTCTTCTGTGTCTGTCCTAGGGCCTTTGGGACCATGTTGCACACTGAAGGAAGGTTCTGATGTTTCATGCCAGAGTGTTAGTGAAAGTGTTATGCCAGACCAGGCCACTCCATTGTTTATCACACCTGAGAGTTCGGAGGTAGATGTGGAGAGAGGCTCTCCCTCAGGGAGCATGGCAGCCATAGGAGCAGTCAGTGCTCTCTGTGGTGATCAGGAAGTAAATCTTAGTTCTCCATTAAATCCTCCAGCACAGAGCCAAGGAGAAGTAGATGCATTTGAGCTGGGAAGAAGGGACAGCCCAAAGGAAGTCGAAGAGATTGAACAAATATTGACTGTAAATGACAATCAGACTAGTCATAATCACTGTTCTGACAAAGCTCCTACCGATGGACTCTTGTCAGATGAAGTGCAAAAAGTCTCTGCCTGTCAACATAAGAAAGCTGAAGAAGCTGGTCTGTCAGCAGAGAATGATCAGACAGCAGAACAGTTGAATAACAGTGACTCTTTGATGGGCCCTGATGCACAAGCAGAAAGCTCAAGTCCATTCAGAACCCAGAGGTCTGGAGAGCTGTGTGAGGAACCACAGAGACTGGCAGAAAACCAGGACGGTAAAAGTGAAGAGAACACTGTGCTGAACCCAGAGTGTATTACAGTGCAGGACTTGCAGGGAGGAGAGGAGAACCGGGGGAGGTTTTCTTATGAGGAAAAGTCAAAGACTGTAGCCTTAAAAACACTGGAATCCATTGAAGAGGAACTGGAGGTTGGACCACTGTCCTCAGGAGTCACTGAGGGGCATATAGAGCTCACTGGTCTGCACTCCCACCAAGAGGCAGCTTCTAGAGCATCATCTCCTAAAGGTACAGCAACCGGATGTTTGTGTGTTTATCTGTTTGATAACATGAATTGAAATCGAAGTCCTCAAGAGGTATTGCTGGCAAAGTATGTCTGGGAGGCTTTGGGGTAATCACACAAACTACGGGAAAGTGATTAAATTGTCATTTTCTGGCTTGAAATTAGCTTTCTCTTCACAGGTCGGTTTGTCGTAAGTATTTTGTTTAATAGTTCTTTGCAAATTTACATCAGTACAGAACAGAGTTCCAGTGTAAGAGACTTTTAATTTCAGTTTATATCATTGCTGGTGATCTCCACCTGTTGCATTCATCGTGTGTGCATTATGGGTGCATGCAGTAGGAATGCTTGAGAATGTCTAATTGTACCAGTCTTCCATAGTTGAAAATTGGCTTTGGGAAGATAGTTGTGGTAAGAAGAAGCACCAGTGGATGCAACAGCAAAATACTAGCTGTGTAACATGACCTGAAGATCAATAAATGTGTGTGCTGGTAACTGATTTAAGGAGCAAACTGTGCAGTAGATGGATTCCCCCTCTCTTCCCTCCCTTCGCCTCCAGCATGCTTTCTTCAGCTTGCTTATGTTTCAAGTAGAAGCTGTTTAAGCTTGAGTGGGAGAGCACAGAGAAATTAAGTATCTAACTTCAACTCAAACAGTATGTTCAACCAGGTATTGCCCAGACTTCTTGATGCCTGGGTTGCTGTGCTGGAGCTGTGCTCCTTCAGAAGGCATTGAACGGGAAATCCAGACCTCTCTGCCTTCTGTGCCAGACTGTAGGCAGGCAGTGTGTAACTGCATGGACACGATGTTGGATTTGCCTAGCTCTGCTGAGTCTGAAAGCTGTAGCTAGATATGCAGATCACATTGAGGAGCGTGTGTGTAGCGGGGGCGGGTGAAACATGCCATTCCAGTTCAACAGCTCTCCTTCCCTGAGACCCCTGGTTAGGAAAATCACCTGGCTTGAAATATTAGATTGAGAACTCTTGAAAGGGTCGGAGGTACAGACCCACATTGCTAGAGCATGTCTGACCCTGTGGAGAAACAGATCGAGAGCTGGTTGTCTTGGGTCAGGCTGCCAGTGTAACACGCTGGCCCTCAGCTGTGTGGAGAAGAGCCTACATCACCACTGCAGTGCTGCTCCAGTTGGCTGCAAACGCTGCTCTTTCTCAAGTGTCTAAAAGTCACATTTTACCTGATGCCTTAGTGTGACCTCCTAATGGATCTAAAGTGTCCCTTGATTAAAATGAAATTTCATTACTTGCACCAAAGTATTTTAATTCCGTAATTAGACAAACCCACAGTTGCCAGGCTTCTGGATAGTTTTGGAGTGTCAAGCATTTCTCTTCTGTGAAATGGAGGGGGTCAGCTCAAAAGCTTCTGTGTGTGCATCTCTCTGAGTGTCTGCCACCATAAGCAGGAAAAAAGAGGTCACCTTCTGCCTATCTGTAGCTCGTGGGGGATGTATGCCAGGAAATAACCATGCCACGAGTATCTAGTCCTCTGACGGGGCTGAACCTGGCTTGACTTCATGTTTGCACAGGACACTACCTCAGAAAACCTAGGCTGTGTTGAGTGCTGGGTGTACACTTTCCTCAGGACTCCAGTGGCTGCTTGGACAGTGTTCCCATCTTGTCTGTCTAAAATTAGCCAGGTCCAGCTTGTGTATGCGATAGTAAGTGTGATGTTCTTGCAGCTCCACAGAATGAATCTTGGCTGCTGCTACAGATGCCAGTAATGACGGACCCCTCTGGTGTATGTGTGAGGTTTGTTACAATGAAAGACAATTTAAGTGTTTCTGGGGATTTGGCTGAAATAAGTGACATTTGCAGTCCAATTCTGATTATGTTAAAGTTTCCCATTGTAGTTAAAAACCCCCAGCCCTGTTATCTCAGAGTTTGTAAAGCAGAATGAAAAAACTAAATCACCAGGAAACCTCCCCAAACCAACCAACCAACCATCCAAACTCTTTAAGGCCATGGGGCAGTTTAAATATCTGTAAATGCCAGGAGTATTTCTTAAATACTATAGCTGGAACTATAATAAGCTTAATCCATGCAATTACATTTGATTGCTTTGATATCCTAACAAGCCACCCCCTTATCTAGCCCCATTAAACCGTCAGAGATAAAATAATAAGATAATTCAGAGATAAAATTACAAAGTGAAGCAAATGTCCTACATTCAGTCCTACAAATGGACTTTTCCAGACAGTCAGTAGGCGAGCTAAATGTAACTGTTTCTTGTTGGGGTCATTTTGCTCCTATGATTGGAAACTGTGGATATCTTGCCTAAACTATAAATAACAACAAAGTTTAAGCTTTACTGGGCCAATTCAGATCTGCAGTTCACACCTCAGCGGTAGTGGGCAGACGCACAATTTGCTCTGTGTGAGGTGGAGGAGCTGGTTTGTTATGGCAGATATTGTAGATTATGTCAAGACATATTCAGAACTGGGGCACCTGAGTTTGTGTCTGCAGGTTTTTCCTTGTCCCTTAACTCTCTCCCCTTCCTCTCACTCCCAGCAAGCTTATTTTCTGCACAAATCTGATCTAACTTAGATTTTGAGTGAAATGTAAGTTGTTTTGAGTCAGTGACTTAAAATTTACACTGGTTCCATTCACAGATAATGTGACTGCTGTTTTTCCCTAATGACTAAGTGAAAGTGAATTTTGAAACTCTGCAGGTCTGGGAACAATTCCTACATTTTGGGAGTGGAAAATACCTTGTTCAAGAAATCGGCTGAAAAGTCACTCTGGGGCATATTCAGCAGCACCTGTTAGGGCGTTCCATTCCCTGTTACTACATGATGTTAGCATAGATGATACTGGTGCCGGGGCACTTTGCAGGAGAAATGCTAATGTCTCTTTGAAGTGCACACAAGCAAATCCTCTTCTACCACTTCCTTAACCTCAGGGAAAGGTGGAACCTGCAAACACGGCAAATTCAGATGTCTCAGTTCTCAATTTGGTTTTTGATGTAATCCTCCGCATTCTACAATTTCCGCTTTAGTAAGTGCCTCCACCCAAGATTGCAAATTACAAGCAGTGTGCTTGGGCCTGTTTGGAGAGAGATGGGGTCTGCGAATCTGAGCTGAACCCGAGGAATTTAGGGAAGAGGTTGGTTGGGCAAGATGTATGTAGTCTGGAGGCTGCACAACTCCAGTGAGGTTTCCCTGGGGCTGAAAAGCCCCAGTACCTGGATTGTGTCTGGTGGGCTGAGCAAAATGCTGCTCCTCTCCCTTCTGGGAGAGCAATATTCAAAGCAGGGCTGCAATTTATGTTTATGTCTGCCTTGCCCTGCAATGGTACCTTCAATATATTGATGTATTCTTTAAATGCCATCTTTTGGTCCTCTTTGCAGGCTTTCTTCATTTAATGCAGATTCCTTTACTATCAGCTCTGTGGTTCTGCTTGTTGCCAGGCCTTACAGCTCCTTGAGAAGATGATTCTAGTTTTCCTAGAAAGTCTGTCAGTCCTTAACGTGTAACCTTTGGGACATGACTTATATGACTCTGATCTTCAAGATACCCCATCTGAGGGAGATCAGTGCCCTTCTAAAACGCCTCTTCAGGAAGATCTATCAGCATTGCCTAAAGTGAATGACCTCTTCATTCACTGGAAAATGGAGGCTGAGGTAGTACTGGGAACAGACCTGAGCTCTAATGCATCCCAGAACCGTGCAGAGCCTTGAAGCCATTGTGGGTGCTTACGTGGCTAAGTGCAGCAGATACCAGGCTGGGCACCCCTCAAGAGGGGTGTTACCAAGGACTAATGAGCAGCTAGTCCATCATGGCCTCGATGGTGCAGAGCTCTAGAGCCCCTCCTAGTTTCCCCCCACTCTCGGATAATTTTGTGCAGTGAGGCATGCTGCTCAGGGCACTTCTCTCACCCACTTTAGCAATTTTGAAAGCAGTTTGGGCTGAGCCTCAACCTGTAAGTCTCCTTCACGGCCAAAACTTGTACTGAAAGCCACTTCAAGGACTGCTTTGTTCCTGGTCCTGCTCTTTAATGAAGTATTAGAATCTGTTAGTAAATAAACTGAGTCAAGTGTCAGCATTGTTGATGCAGCAGGAAGGTAGGATGGTTGAAGTCAATTTTAAATAGCAATTAAAACGTCTGACTTCATACCAAGCAAATAAATAGTCCACTCTCTTATTTTCCTAAAGAAAGGTTGATTTATTTGTTGGTAGATACTGAAGTATCAGGATTTGTACCAAAGTGTAGCCTTTTCTTTAGGATATCTTTCTACTGAACAGTGGAATGGCCTAGCTGTGTACTTAGGATGCTAAAGATGTATTGTTGAAGATGATTTGTTGGCTTCTAATTCTTATAATGTTGGTAACTGGGGAATAATATTTCTTGTGCATTAGGTTTTTTTTTTTCTTCTTGCCAGCTACTTTTACATGAAAACTGAAACTTGATAAAACTAGCATTTGTTTCCGTGTAATAGCTAAGATACTTAATTTTAGAAATAACTGATTCTGATAACTTGTGCTTCAGAGCTGAGATGTCAGGCAAAAGAAGCATTTCTCCAGTTCTCAGAGCTGATTGGTGTAATAATCATCCTGTTCTTCAGGGTTTTAACATAGGTTTCTGACTTTTGCGTTAACTGTTAATTAAAAAAGTTTGGATGAGTAGAACAAGGTCTCTTTGACTAATTTCCAGCTGATTTGTAGGCCTTGAGCTGATTTTGTATTTTCAGGAACTAGTCTGAAAGTAGTGTTGGGGGGGTAATTCTGCTCTGATGGAGCAGCTCGCCCTGTCAGAAACTGGTTTATCACTCAGCGTGCTCAAGCTGCTGGACCTGAGCCAGGGATTTACACCGTGCCAGACTTTCACACCGTGAACAGATGTGTACTGCTTGATGTTGTTACCTTTAAAAGTGACTTTGACTAGAGTAATCCTAATCTGAATTGTGCTTTTGTAATTTGCAAACTTCACAATAAATTGCTTTATTTTTTTAAAATTACAGTAGTATTAATGCTGTAACCAGTTTTGGAACATGCATGCTACTGGCATGGAGACTGGAGTTGTTGCAGAGTGCTGAGGCTGGGGACGTGTCCCTCCCCAGTCTGGTACTTACCTGGGACCTCTCGGGTGGAGCTCTGCTCGAGCTTCTGACTACTACTTTCTTACAGGGATGGTGTCAGAAGGGGTGTCAGAGACAAGAAAAGAAGCAATTGGCACAGATGTGTTGAAACCAGTGAGTAAAGTCAGTGTCCTGGAGGAAACCTCAACACCTATCACTCCCCCAACATCCCCAGCTTCTGTGACTGCCTGGGGTGGTCGCTCTGCACCTACCATAGTCAAGGATGTGAACCCAGAAGTGCTCAGGAGCGGAGTTGCCTGCCTGCCAGGTCAGTAGCTGAGCCAGAATGTGTCTGGGAAACATGGTTTGTAGGAGGGCGGGGGAGATAAGTCTCTGTTTGCAGCACTGCAGACTGGTGTCAGTTCCATTTCTTTTACCCTATACCTCTCCAGAAGCAATGTTTCTTGAATCCTTTAAAGTTTCTGGATGGGAAGGACAGGAAGTAGAATTTCCCTCTCATGAAAGTAATGTTAACTTGCTCCCAGGAGTCTCAAAATGTTAACCAAGTGCATATGAGTCAGAAATACCAAATCTGTGGTCTCATACCAGTAGCTCAAAAAGAAAAGAGTGAGGGTGCAGCTAATAATGGGCTGGTGGGCCTGACATCAGGCCTGGTCAAAAGAATAGGAGCTTGATTCATTTGGTAGTTAATTAAAGGACAGGAGTTTAGAAGGTCCTACTTGACAGTGCCCTTGTAAAACCAGTTTTATTCTTGGTAATTAGAAGTTTGGTTGATTAAATGTAGCTGTCTAGATATAACAAATTTTTAGAAAACATTTGATTTTGTGACACACAGTGTTGAAAGGAGTATCCCAATGAGTATCCCAATGAAGTGTGGATGAGCAACACATGGGATGAATGATAGTGTGGCTAAATAACAGATGACAGAACTAGTTATCAAGGGAGGACTTCCCAGAATTGTTCTGCTGAGATTAGTTGTAGGTCAAATGTTATTCAGTGTTTGCATCTGATGCAGCAGCAAGTATCAAGTTGCTGCAGATAAAACTTCTGCATGGGACAAATATTGGCAGAGTGTTAAACAAAGCTGAGGCTGTTGGAGAGAGCAGCCAGGATCACTTGGTGTGCAGGGGCCACACAAGAGATCTTTGTGTTCAACCAAATATGAAGTAAAGTAGAGGAAGTCAGAGCTACCTCTCCAGTGCAAAACAGCTGTTTGGCAGTGTCTGTGTAAGCAGCCTCTGTGGGCTTGTTTCCTTCCATAGCCAGTGAGAGGATTGTCCAGTGTGGGGTGGGACAATTCTCAATCGGTTCTGGAGGCATGTATGAGTTGAAAATTGGACAGAGAGCAGAGAAGAGATCAGGTAGACCTGCGCAGTGTGGAGAAAGTGGGAAGGAGACCAGAAAGGCAGCACAGTGATTTCCCACTCAGTGCTGGGGCTGCAAGACTAATTTTGACCTCAGATGGGTAAAGGAGAGGGGCTGACTAGCCAGATTCAGAAAGTCATTTTACCTCTGCGTACTTGTTGGTGATGCCTCTCAAATAGTCTGGGCTTTTCTGATGCCTTTGTTCTAAAAGGAAATGGTGAATATTGGAGATGGTGCAGGAAAGGGTGACAGTCATTGTAACTGAATTGGATGTCTTATGACAAGAGACTGGAAGGTTGTTTATCCTGTAAAATGATTGAGAATGAGATGAAAACACCTTTATGCAGGTAAGGAGGAAAGGGAAATAAGACTTTTCCAGTATTCTGGAAGGTGAAATGAGAAACCAAGTGCAGGGCAGAGTTATGTTACATTCAGACATGTAACTTTGCATTGGGAGGTAAATTGCTAGAACAAATTCCAAAGGAGGATTTCTAATATGGTCTGCTGATCAGGTTGGACATTTTAGGATGTGTACAACAGCCAAAAAAATTACAGAGTTTGAGAGGGGTCTTTGAGAAACTCATAATCCATGCTATTTGAGAAGCTCATAGTCCATGCTATTGTAGAAGCTTGGCTGTGTCAGCTCTAGTAGTTTCCTTTGTCACAAATTCCTATTGTAATATACAAGTGCTAAACGAGGCAAATGCACTTGAGTATGGGATGAAGGGATGTGCCCTTGAAATGCCTTCTAGTGGGTACCTTCAAGTGGGTTTGGTACCACTTCCAAGAGAGTTTTTGTCTAAGGGAGGAATAGCATTTGCTGTAGAAGTAGTGTTGGATTTGACTGACATCTCTTCCCTCATGTGTCTCCTTTTGGATTTCAATGGGCAATCCTCACACCGGAGGGAATGCACTCACCACTCGGTTAAATGCTTTGTGTTAGACATTGGTAATGATAGAATAAATACATCAGGATGACTTCTATAATGAATAGCATGTAAGATCTAATTCATAAACTAGTAGCTGATGAAGTTAGGAAGAAATTTTCCTTTCAGGAGGGTTTCAGTCCTGTATTCTGCTCTTGAATCATCTGGTTAGGCCACTGTTGAAGACCTAGCCCTGGTGGCTGAGGTTGCTTTTTTGACTTGGTCAGGCAATTCCCAGGCTCCCATATGGAAGTTCAAGGTTTAATCCAGTTCTGGTGATGCCCAACCTCTCTGATGGACAAAAGATGTTGTTTCAGAGTAAGAATTTTTTTACTGAGCCTGGTTATTGAGCCATTTTTTCCAGTAACTGAGTGCTTTGCTTTTGCTTGTTTTCTGATGATCCCCTTAGCCTGTGAAGCAAGGCATATTAATAAGCTTTTTCTAATTTCTCTCCAGCTCTTTGATTATATAGTGTCCAGAATACATTATTTCAGGAGTAATAAAACTCCTCCTGAATCACACAGATGATGAAAGATTTTGTTCCTGCTGTTAGCAGGAGAAAGCCTGTGTCTCAGTTCTGGTCCCTGGGAAGGAGAAAGCCCTGCTTCTAAATGATGCCCATCTGTGTCTGTGGCCCTTACTCAAGTCACGTCCTAGTGACAGATTGAGATCACACCACATTTTTCTGTGCTTGGGGCTATCCATCTGTATCTGTTTTACCTGTCAGCTCACATGCCTGTCCCTGGGATGGGAAGAGAGGTGGTCCAGGACAGTATCTCCTGTGGTAGCAATAAAGTTCAGAAGACACAGAAAGACATAGCTTTCTCTAAGCCTCTGGATTTGTCTTGTGCCTGGGTTTTTTTCCCCCTTCTCTCTCATACAATTTGTATGACAGGAAACAGCTCCTGTTCTTATGAATTACTTGTCACGCAACAGAGGTGTAGTTCCTACTGTTCTCCCAGTCACTTACCTGCCTGGTGACCATGCATGAGTGCAGAGCGCTGGTTGCTTTGAGCAGGCTGACTCCCTGGGCACTACCTGCTTTCCAATGGCAGAGGCAGCTCTAGGTCTCCAAAGTGGGGTGTCTACCTGCTCTTTACCTCTCCTTTGCATCTGGAGAGGAGGCTGGATGTGATTCCAGAAATGGCACTGTTATGTCCTTCTCTTCAGAGTTCTTGGTGCATGTTGTGGTTAAAGCCAGATGATTGTTTACTTTTAGGAACTCATAGAGCAGGCTTGTTTCCTGTTATGAGCTATGTCTCTGGACTTTTGGAAAGCTGGGAGCAGAGTACTGTTGTTCTGGCTAACTGAAGCAGAGGGATTTCTCCCTCCTCAAAGTATCACAACTCAGCTGTGCTGCCCATACTGTGCCTTATGTATTCCCTAGGCACTGAGCAAGCTCTAAGCTAATGAAAGCCTGGAACTGACTCTGCCCTTGTCAGAGCTGTGGGCAGGCAAGAGTGTGCTCCGGGGCTGTCTGCTCTGAGGAGCAGCTCTGGGCTCCTGCTCCAGGGCTTTGCTCCCAGGAGATGTCTGGTTCCATGCTAGGATCAGCCTGTAGTGTGCGTGTCTGGTCTCATTAGGTTGCACATGTTGTTCTGCAATCCTGTCTGCGTTCTCTTGTCTGACAGCAGGGTGAATATGGTAACGTAAGTGGAGATGAGATTATTTGAGTTTGAGATTCTTGCTTTTCTCACAAGGTTGTGTTATCATTAGCCAACTTCATCTGTATTTTATGAAGAATGTGAGCTTGGGTAGAAGAGTCCAAATTTGACACTACCATAAGAAAAAGGAAAGCAGAGCTCAGCTACTTCACTCTGCAGCAGCATTTGGGTACTTTGCTGTAGGCTATAAACACACTCCCAATCTGCAGCATGCACTATATCAAGATCTGTGGAGCATTTCCAGGAAGGTGAGGGGGGTGGTAGCAGGGGAGTATGAGGCATACTGACCTGGAACCAGGCTCTGACTTCCTTGTGTGACTTTTCCCCCCCCTACCTCTTTTTACAGGTACCAGAGATAAATCAGGACGTGCAGTGGCCATAATAACAACAAGGAACACAGCCTGGTTAAACCCTCACTGCAATACCACTGAGCTTGTACGCCTTCTTCTGTACTTGCATAGCATCCCAAGGTTTGTGATGCTCTTGGGCTGACAGCTGCTCCCGTGTCCAGTTTGCCTTTCAGGGGGGTGAAAGCCAAGGCAGTGAGTGGAACAGGTTGACTTTATTGGCCTAGGAACCTGGTCCAGACAAGTCCTGAAACTGTACAGATGGGGATGTCCTGCTAGGATGAACGGGCTCATGTTCAGTAAGCACTTTGGCTGTATTATTCTGTATGTGCTTTGTGCATGTGGTGTGATAAAATTGGGTATGTACCAAAGGTTTTCACGCATCGCCATGAATCCAGGCTATTCTTACTATCCTTCACTAGCTCAAAGTGGGATTTGGGAGCTATGATGGGGTAGTCATGCAGCAGCTCTGTGATACAGAGTTGTGACATGATATTTTAGGGCCAGGCCTCCAAGCTGAGAGGGAGGGAGGATCTGCAAGGGTTGAGAAAATCTGCCTTGATGTCTGGCTGAGTTTTTGGAGTTTGCAGGCTGGAGTTTGCTGCATTACTCTTCCTGTCACTGTGACATTCTTACCCCCCAGCTCATCTCAGGCTCTACTGAGACTGTTTTTCTTTTAGATGATTAAAATAATAAGAGGTAAAGCTAACTCCCTGTCAGTGATTGTTTTGAGGCTTTTAAACCATTGATAAAGGGAGCAGGCTTAATCCATGAGAAAGCTTCTGGTATTTGTGCTTTGGTTGTTATGCTTCTCCCTTCAAATCTGATTCTGGGCAAGATAGATGCTGGATCTAATCCAGAATGACTGTTCTTGGGAAGCAGTGTGGCTAAGGCCAAGCTTGTCCCTGAATGCAATTAGGAAGGACTGGTTTTCCTGTGTGGATTATACAAAGTGGGTATCTGCACCTTTGCGGTCAGTGAGATGTGTCCGTGAGATGTGTCCTAGGAATTGGAGAAATTGAAAGTTCAGGTGGAAATAGCAAAAACTAGTAATCCAGGTGATGGTTTTCATGTATATATTTTGGTTAGGGGAAGGTGGACAGTGTCCTCACAGAGCTGTAATGTAGTGGGTTTTTTTCATCTTTTCATGACTATGGGCTCAGTTTCCAGAGTTTTGTTGATTTGCATTGCTGTCAAACATGACCTCTTTTTCTCTGTTCTTGCAGACCAGAATGTCAGGCTTTGGGTCTGACTGTTCTTGTGGATGCTCGTCGCTGTTCACCAGTTCCTGCTCTCTTCAAGGCATTCAGCATATTGCAGGTGAGCCTTGAGCTTGGGCAAAGGAGCACTAGTTGGCTTGTCATCTTGGTTGCATGTTACATCTCCATCTGCTGCTTATGTCTCCATCTGCCACCTGGCTTTCAGTTGGCTTTGGTAGGTGGAGTTATGTACCCGGCCCTGTTTTAGGAGAATGACCTGGACTTGCCAGACTGCAGACAAAGCAGAACACCTAAGCCAGTCTGAGTTAGGGGAGAACACCCCTCCCCACCCCTCCAAATTTGGTTCCCTCTCTGTGCTGAGAACAGCACGTACCCAAGTCAGTCATGAATTATTGTGTGCTCAGAGCTGTTGTCCCCGGCACAGAGAGGCTGTGTGAGATATGCAGGGATTTTTGCCCACCACAGAGAAGAGAGGAAGAGGGGCCTCTGCCTGCTACTGAGAGGAGGGAAGGATGCTGCTTGTCATGCCAGGTGGAAGAGCCCATGCAGCTGTTGATGTGGCTGTCAGTGAATGATTGGAATCGGATGTGCTGTAACTCTATATTGCTTCAGGTCAAAGGCTTTCATATAAGTCACTTGGAAAGCAAATGGGTTGTGTTTCCCCCACTCCCAGATAGGAGCTATCTGCTGCTGTTAGAAAGCCAAGGAGATGCTGGGTTGTAGCTGTGACTAATCTTGTTTAAGCAGGTGTTCCTTTTAAATCAGAGCTTAAGTCTCTTAGGACTCAAACTCTGCAAACTGGAACAGGGCAACAGAGCCACTGCACCCCTTTAGAGACAGCCAGCATGGATTCTCCAAGGGCAAGTGGTGGCCGACTGCTGCAGTGGCCTTGCTTGCTGGAGTGGTGGCCTGAGTGGAGGAGGGAAGAGACATGAATGTCATCTGCCTGGAGCTGTGTGAGGAGGCCTGAGCTGTGGTGCCCCACAAGGTTCTTCCCTCTTGCTGAGGGCAGGCAGAGCCTGTAGCTTCTTGCCCCTGTTGGCTACTGGCTTGGGGCAGCCTGGAGGAGCCACCTGTGGGGCTGCAGTGGGTGCCTGGCAACAGGGTGGGGTGGCTGGGAGCAGGTACAGCAGCCCTTGAAAGCCCCAGGGTGGGAGGGTGGTGCCCAGGGTTGTGGGGCTCAGAGCTGCTTTCTGCACGGGGCCATGTCTGTGAGTCCTGCAGAGAGCCATCTGTCCTGGCTGCCCCGCCAAAGGGCTGCTTCCCCTGGGGAAGGGACAGGGGAGTCCCACTCTGTGATTGCCTGCACTGCTGGTGCTGCCTCAGCCCTGGGGACAGTTCAGTGCCCTTTGGGGCTTGATGGGTCTGTTCTAGGGCACAGCGATGCTTTTGCACCTCTTGGGTGCATTTCCCGCTGCCCCCTGTGCTCCCCCCATCCCACGAAGGCATAGAGGGGGTCTGGATAAAGGGCTTTTAATGAAAAATAAAGAACAAAACGATCATGAAAAGATAGATGATTATCAGAACCCCCACTCCCACCCTCCCCAGAACCTCCCAATCCCTACAACAGCATAATCCCTCCTTCCTGTCCCAGCACTGGCTGCAGGGGCCTTGCGCTTGCCACCAGGAGCCATTGCGCTGCTGTTTCCCATGCTTTTCCAGCCTGATGTGGTGCTGGGCCACGCTGCCCTGGGGTAGTGGCAGGAGTGTCCTCGCATCCTGCTGTGGCTCCTCAGGCCTCATCCTGATTCTCTGCTGTCCCTGGGCTTTGGGACACTGCTGGGATAGTGCTGGCTGGTCCCCACTGTCCCCAGGGAGCAATCCAAGCTCCCCCTGGCCTCTTCCAGAAGCACCCCAGGCAGCACAATGTTGCCAGCTGGAATCCCCACAGGGTCCCTGGAGGCTTGGACATGGAGGGCAGAGGGAGATGACTTCACTTGCTAGGGAGATGTCAAACACTGGCAAGGAGTCCTTCTCCATGGGGACCTCGATGGCCAGGAAGATGTTGTGACCCTGGCCAGCGTCCTCCTCCGTGTGGACATTGGTGGCCAGGGAGATGTCCAGACCACATGGGGAGGTGCCCTGGTCCATTGCCACATGGTTGCCTGGGGGGCTGCCACTGCCCAGGGGTGCTGTCAGGGGTTGGCTGTGCTGGAGAGGCCATGCTGGCTGTACTGTCTTTTGAGGTGGTGGCAGCAGGGGGCAACAGTTTGAAACTGAAAGAGGGGAGGTTTAGATTAGATTTAATGAAGAATTTCTTCACTGTGAGGGTGATGAGGCCCTGGCACAGGTTTCTCAGAGAAGCTGTGGCTGCCCCCTCCCTGGAAGGGTTCAAGGCCAGGTTGGACGGGGCTTTGGTCAACTTGGGCTAGTGGAAGGTGTCCCTGCCTGTGGCAGGGGGGGTTGGGACTGGATGATCTTTAAGGTCCCTTCCAACCCAAACCATTCTATGATTAATGTTTTAATGAAGTTGGTGTCTCTGGTTTACGTGCTTCAGTGCCACATCTGAGGGTTGGGGCTGAGTCAGAGGTCTGTCCTCCTGCTTCCTGGGCTGGGTGGAGCTGTGAACTCTATCAACATGCCCCTTCTCTGTGATGAGGGAGTAATCTGGTGCCCTGCTTGGCTCTGCAGAGGCAACAAACAAGTTACCTTCTCTTTTATGCTGTGCCCACACGGCAGTGGGCTTGCTAAAGATTTTGAGTACTTTGTTGCCCATGGTTGCACAGTTGTCTTAATGGAATGATTTGGAAATCAGCAATGCATTGAGACACAATGTGCTTTTTGAGTTCTCAGTCTCATACAAGCATGCCAGGAATAAAGCCATGCTAACCTTAAATTTCCTACCCTGTGAAACTAGACGTGGTGTTGGTGAGGCGAGCTCTTTGCAGTGCCTCTGTAACCTGCTGTGAGGGCTGTTTGGCTCTGAGCAGCTTGTTATCAGGGTGGTGCAACAGTTAGTTAACAGGGATTAATGTGCTGCTGGAGTTGAGTGTGTGCTCCAGGTAACAGTGACTGACAGAGGCTTGATTACTCTGCTTGTTTTTGGATCCTTACCCTGACTCTTCTGCAGACTCTATAAACGGGACCTGTTCAGCTAGCTCATCATCTGGTTATGGCACAGGAATAATCCCCTGGCTCCTCTGAGCCTTTTGGATATCCTTAGTGTTTGCCTCTGATCCCATGGCAGTACTCTCATCTGCTCTGAAACAAGGACAGAGAAATACAGAAAACTGCCTGTAACGACAGTGAGGCAAGCTGAGCTTTCTAGAGCGTAGCAACGTTTGCTGGCCAGTGGATGCAGAAGCACAGACTGTATGCTATTCCTCAAAGGTCACAGAACAGATCATCTCCTTGGGGTCGTTTCTGAACGTTCCTGACACATCTCCCAGCATCTCTTACCTCTGGCAGACTGTCTTTTGGAGCTTCTTTCTCTGCTGTTCTGCTCTTTACTTCAACAGGATGATATTTACATGGCTTTTGTGAAGCCTGCTATGATAATGTGTGTAGAATCTGTTCAGTGTTGAGATCCAGTGTTGCTTGTTCAATTTTGAATGGAGATTTTTTCCCCCGAGCAGTGAGGAATGCTGCCTCACAGTAGGTAAGCACAGATCGGATGCCCTAGTGCAGAGTCCCTTCTTGCTGCAGTGCTTGGATCTGTTAACCCTAGAGAACCTCCCTAAGGAGGGAGCTCGGATCCCACAGGTTTCTGGTTCAAGATCTGTCAGTCTGAGGAAATACTTCACTCTTCCATCCTTCCAGAAGAAATGTGTGAACAGACTTTTTAAGTGCTAATAGATAACTTCTGGTGCTAGCAGGTAGCTTTCCCTACAACACTGGGAGACTGCTGTCTAATAGCCACCTTGAAAAGTAGTGAAAGCTTCTCACCCTCTCTGCCTTCAGGGTAGGGGGAGTTGTGTTCTGCAAGACTTTCTTCCTTCTTCCTTTTTAGACTATGGGTGACTGGGAAATCCTTCTGTCCCAGACAGCACTGGGAGCAGGGGCAGAAAGCGTTGCAGCAGAGCTAACTCTGGAAGGAGCAAGGAGGAACTCTGGCAGCTCTGCACGGAGAAGAGAAACGTGCAGTGCATACATGCTGCAAGAATAGATCACGCTTGATCCTGTGGGAAGCTGCGTAATGATGCTTTGGAGCAAGGATTTTTGCAGAGGTAAATGCTGCTGTGATGTTTGGTCACAGGTTGTCACCAGTAAGCTCTGTGCTGTGGGACCTGTTCAGAGGAACTTTACTGCTCAGTAGTGCTGGTTGGTGAGCAGGCAGGGTGTGTACATACATGGAATGCTTGTGCTGGCCTTCAGTGAACAGGTATCTGGGATTTCCCGCTACCTGAGTCTTTAAGAGTGAGATTCTTTTAGATTTTGCATCAGTGTGAACACTTAATCCTGTACTCTGCTGCATCTCTGTGTGGGTTGGGAAGGGAAAAGTCTGTTCCTGAAGGCAAAGAGGTAGTACAGTGGCCATTGAAAGCAGAAAAGTTGTGCACAGAGCTTTGTGTTCAAGAGGTATATTTGCATGCCCTGTTACTGTGGAAGTATGAAGGACCTTGGTTGGATGTTAAAGACCAGAGAACTCCTATTACTCCATTACAAGTGGTCACTTTGAGATTGGCCATGGTACCTGGGGACTCTCCCATCTGCACAGGCATTCCTGGCAGCCTGTGTTTCAAACTGTGCCAGTGTTAAGTCTGGCCATGGGCTTCTGCTGGGTCAGGAAGCCAGAATACTGTTTGAAACTTCAGTCTGAGAAAGATCTAAGAAAATATCTAATTCTGTTTTTTAAAGAAGAATATTAAAAGGATGGGTGTTTACATGGTGCTTTCCAAGCTCCTGTTGATGCCCCTCTATTCTATACTGTCCCCACTGACTTTTTTTGGAAGGTGAGGAGTTCACTTACATGTGTGTGACTCTTTTTCTTTGCTTCCAGTTAGCTGGTTTTCTTAGCAAAGGTGGTAAGAGATTGCAGAAAGCTGCAGGAAATCTTCCTCAAGTAGCGTCTTGCTGCTTCCAGCTCTGCCTGTCTCCTGAGGCGCTCCTGTAAACTGCTTTAGTCAGTTTGGATTGCTCCATCAGTGCTAGATGAGACTTACTTATCTTCAGCTGTTTAAAGACAAAAATATGGCAAAAAAATACTTGATTTCTCTGGAGGTATTACTGCTTCTTGGGTTGGAAAACCCTGAACTTCTCCCCTCACAGCTTTATTTGTGAATTGTTTTTCAGTTTCTATTTTCAGGAGTAATGAGCGAGTGGTTTGACTGTTGTAACCTTGTGTTACACCATCACTACCTTTATCCCTCACTCAGATTGCACATCTCATGACTATTGGAGGGAAGAGGGGTTGGGAAAGAACAACTTTTTAGTGCCATGATCTGTCTTGAAACTGTGGCTAGTCTTCATCCTTCAGTACTTCCTAGCAGACAAATTCAGAGTTGCTGATATGGCTGTAATACCTCCCCATCCTCTCTTTAGATGAGCTCCAGTATTTACCTAATACAGCCTAATTATGCAATAAATTATTTTTGGCCTTTTGATCACTGTTTGAGTAACAGTGAAAGCGTTAATAATTTGCTTTGGAGAAGCTGCTCTGAGAAGACTTAACCTCGCATGGTTTTGGAAGGTGTTTCAGTTGGGATTTTTTTTCCTGCCTGTTCAAAAGGATCCTGTTTTAGGACTAGATGAGAGAAAAGTCTTTTCCTCTGCTCTGGAATCTCTGCTGCTGCTTTCACTTGCAGAATTGGGTCTGCTTGTATTGGTATTGTTTCTTAATTGCTGCACTGGGCCCAGTGTCAGGTTAAGCAGCTCAGTATCTGCTGGTCCTCTTGCCTCTGTACTGGCTCTGCTGCTAGTGTCGGGTATTTAACCCTAAACACTGCCGGAGCTATTTATTTAAACAGAGTTCCCCTGCTGTCATGGCTTGTTGTGTGGCAGGTTCCTTGCAGCTTGAGCAATACCAGAAAAGATTTGTTGCTTGACAGTGTAAGAGATGTTTCCAGAGACAAAGACCATCTAGGAGACATCTAGATGGAATGGCTCTTCTTTTTAACCATGTGGAATGACAGACAGTTCTCTTTGCTCTCCTGGTCCAGGCATCATGTATATAGTGGGCCCTGTCTCCATGGTTTGGATCTTTCTGCTACATTTCCCTCTTCCTGCTGTCTCTCTTTGTGCCTGTTTCTCACTTCCCTGTAGAGTGCTTCTATAATGGGAGAGCTGCTCCCAGATCACACAGTTTGAACTACAGCAGCCAGACATCCATTGTATTTGGAATTTCTGTTGGATTAACAGTAGCAACAGGATGCAAGTCCTTGATTGTGAGTTGGCAGTAAGTAAAGACAAGATGATGTTTTTGGCACTGTGGAGGAGAAAAAAACTTCCTTTCAGTTAGGAGAAGTGACCAGAAAAATTATCAAGAAAAAACTTTGACATTGAACATAGTAGGTTTTGTTGGTGGGTGGTGGTGGTTTTTTTTTTACCTCCTGACACATTTCCGTCTGTAGAAGGCAGAGGTTTTTTTAGTACAGCCAAGACCTGACCTCTTTCATTGCTTCCTTAAATACTGCAGGACTAGTTGGTCTGAAGGATACAGCCTTGGTGCTCTGTAGAATGGCCTTCCCTATACCTGGTGTCTACCTTTCAGGCTTTATCAATACCTTTGAAGAATAAATTGCTATCTCCTGTACAAACCTGGTGTGGTACATTCTCTTTAGCATCCCAGGCAGGTTGGTAATGGATCTGCGCTCTGTTCTGTTGTAGGACATAGATCCTCATTGCATTCATGGAGTACTGCTTCTGGTTGAAAGAGATCTGACCTTTCGGATGGAGAAGCCACCAGCAGGACAGGTAATGGAACCATTCATCCAGGGGCTGCTGGGGAGCTCCTGATAGCCTGTATTTAACTCTCCAAACAGCAAGTTCTCTGTCCACTGATGTTTCATGTGAGAATAAACATACCTCTGTAGTTGTTCTCTGTATTTTATGCTTGTGGTCTCTTATGGGTGTGGTATTTATAGGGTTGTAAAGTTTGTGAGCTGAACAGATCTCTGTCATGCTCTGTTTATTGCTGAGTCCATCAGTGACATTTGTGCCATAATTATGTCAGTCTACTGGGGCCCTCAAAACACAGGAGGTTTGTTGAGACCATGGATAGCTGTATGGAGGGGGCCTCCACACCCAACAGTCATAGAGATGATTTTCACATTCTGCTGTTAACAAGGGGGGAAATCCTTGGTCAGGAAGAGATCACGTTAGGCTAAATCCCGCACTCCATCTGTTGAAGGTACTTGTTGCTTCCCTAGATTTTGCATATCTCATGTTTCCTCTTGTCATAACTGTTGCTGTCAGTGGCTGAGAGACTTCTGGAAGAGGGGGAAGAGGAGATGAGTATGTGTGTGAGGTTCCCTTTGCAGCTGAAGTGTCTGGGAAGATTAACAGGAGGTGCTAATGGAGGAGGGAAAATCATCACAGCATCACTGAACACCCCCACTAGAAGTAAATCTGCCTTGGTATGAGAAATGTAGGCTCCCAGCCACTCTGTGGTGGATGAAGAGTATCAGACTGCATCTTAGTCATCTCCCTCTGCTTTAAGACTGTTACAACCTACAAGAGTGGACTGAAATTCTGTGCCTGCCAAAACCCTGTAGACTTCAGAGTGGGCCACGACCTCCCTTTTGGCTCCTGTGAATAAAGACATTGTGAATAGCATCAGGTTTGCTGTGTGTGTGGTGTGCTGCTCCAAAAGGCTAAGGAATAACAAATGCTGTTAGACCCTTTCCTCATAGCCCTCATGTGGAAGAATTTGAAGTCAGGAAGGGGGCTGCAGGTGTGTGCATTCAAGGAGAGCTAACAGAAGACATTAAACACATTGAACAAATCCAAAGTGTGTAGGAGGGAACAGAGCAAAGGCTAATAAAGGCACAGGCATGCAGGAGGAATCAGAAGCATCATCGCTATTTTGGGAGGAGGTGGAAACTTCACAATGTGTGTTGGGGGGATTAAATGTCTGCACCTGAGTTTCTGTGTCTGGGCTGGCTTCCATGTACCTGCAGGAGCAGTTGTCTGTTTCTCTGAGTATAAAAATGCTCTGAGAACTTGTCTTCTGCCAGTCTGTAGGATATCTGTGTCAAGATCCAGGAAACACTTGGAGCAAATAGCTGCTGTGATGAGTGGAGAGTTGAGGGTAGGGCAGAGGTGAGTCCGTTAGACTGTTTTTTCCAGGAAGTGAGATGGGAAGCTGGGGGCTGGATTTAACCTCTCAGACTCTCCAAACAAGTGCAAATTGCAGCACGATGTGGGAACGTGTGAGGGAGTTGCTCTGCTTATACTAAGAGGTACTGGCTCTGGAGAGGGCTGGCTGCTGCCAGACTTCCATCACAGACTTCCATCACAGATGTTCTGCTTGGTGAAACAGCGTGTTGTGGCCTGCATTCCCTCAGGGTTCACCCACTAAGCTGTACAGCAAGCTGCTCTAAGATTTGTTGGGGTTTTTTTCTTTCATATTGTAGTCATGTTGCAGTTATACACTGTGTGCCTTGTTTCTATGCAAGATTAATAAAGAAATAAAGGATACTGTCTTTCATTAACTTCCCCCCTTCTTCCTCTAATACTCACACCTTAATGCAAATGTGCTTTTATTTCTTCTATTCCTGTGCAGTTTGAACTTCTCACCTCCATGAAATCCCTCCATAAGCACATAGACAGCTCACAGCTGCCTCTAGAACTGGATGGGACCTTCCCTTATTGCCACCGGGACTGGTTAAGCTTCCGCATGGTGAGTAGCATGTCCTGGATTCTTTGGTATCCGAGAGAAGAAATGACATGGTAATAGAGCTGAAGCAAGAGGAGCCTGTCAACAGCTGAACCTACAAGCATTAAAAAATAATGGTTCCTGTAATAGCTAATGTATGTGAATGAATTTCTGTTATCAAAAGAATACTAATACTGTTTTCATAAAATGGATGCACACTGTGGCCTATTGGCATGACTGCAGGAAGTAACATTTTAGTTTAACTCATCTGTTTGAATTACATTAATTCTTCCTTCCCTTCAAAATATGGTCAAATCTGAAACGGAATCCTGTTTTGTTGCGATATACAGTGGCACTTCTGTTATATTTGGAGGCTTAAAGGCAGATACTTCTTAAACCAATCTCAGGAGATGTTAGTTTCATGTTGCCATTGAAGTAACAGTCAGGAACTTGTGCATAATAAAAATAGTTAGATCTTGTTGGTTTTGGAGCAAGTTCCCCAGACCAACCTAAGAGCTCCAGTAAAAGCTGCAGTCCTTGCAGGAGTGAAACTTGGAAGTTCCTGATAACTAGTTCACATATTTCTAGGAACATCTTTTTCCTCCTTTAGATGTAGTTGACTTATTTACCAAAGTTGTCATTAAGAACTCTTTAGAAAGCATCTAAACTAAAAATACAGCAAAGGTTAATCCAGGGGGAGCTGGCCATACAAGGTGAGCAAGCGAAAGCTTCCCCATGCAGATTCCATTCACTGAGATTTAGGGCCAGGGTAACAGCAGGAGGCAGTACTAGCACTATGTTCCTTCTCCCTGTTTGACTGCTTTGAGTACACCTTGCTACCATGAGTCTGTCTGACCTTTGTGCTTTTCTCCAGAAAAACTGTGGCCCAAGGGATCTACAGTGAACTGTACCCAGATGTTGGATTAGAGCCAGCCCAGGGTGCAGGGAGGCTGACCACTCTGTAGAAATGTTTGACCTGGTCCAGGTTAAGCCTCAGAGGTAGAAGGGCTGAAACTGCAGCATCCAAAGTTTGTAAGGAAGGTAGCCCTGGCAGAGTGTGCTGCAGGCACCAGTGCAGCACGCACCAATGATCTGTGGCAGGACTGCCAGTGTTGCTGGCCATGCAGCAGGGTATGTGCAGACTGCCAGAACTGCAAAAGTAGCATCTGTGGCACCAATACCCACACGTGTACACTTATGCTGTGGAGGGAGCATAAGTCCTGTGGATCATGTGCATGTTGAATCTTTATAAGCTGCATTGGCACACTGAGACTAGACAGGATGAAATCTGTAACTCTGCATGCAAACTGGCTGTCTTCATACTGCTCACCCTGGTGAGTGTTTCCTTCACTCTGGTCACCTCTGCTTCCAAAAGATTCAGTGGTCTTTTGGCTCTGACCTCATGGCCCAGAGTGCTCTCTGGCACATGGCAGCATTTGAAGTAGGTCAAGATATCATTGATAATACCACTGTGTTGCTGGTGGCAAGCTTCAGCAGTTAGCATGTGCCAAATGTTAAGCCTAACTTAACTTATTTTAGAACATATTTTTAAAATTAACAGCTAAAAGTACTTGCATGAACCTGTGCTGATGCAGTAGAGGTACAGAAGCGTGGTCTTGGTGCCTAGAACTGAATTTGAGAATTCGAGATTTATTTGGCAGTGAGGAAGCAGAGAAGCTTTGCAAGAGGCTGTGAATTAGTTTTCTGAACAGAATTGAGAAAAGCTTGCAAGTTGAGGCGCTCTGTGCGGAAGGATAATTCTTGAAGGAAAGAGCATGATATCAGACTACTTCTTGTTTGTGTCTTGCATCTTAACATGCAAAATGTTACCAGAGGGAGTAAGTGTAGGAATCAATCTGTATGGATTGCCTATTTATACGATGTACCATGTGTGATAATGACCCGTATGCTCAACCCCTTTAGATCTGCAGCTATGTGGCAAACAGCATTCATTTCCTGTCTGGGTGATCTCACCTGCATCCTGCTTGCTAATCTGTCACTGCTGGGGCTGTTCCAGCACTCCAGGGAGGAGGAATTCAACTCAGTAAAGATTCAAACAGCTGCTTTTTTGTTTTGAGCATGGCTGTTTTGGAATCGTTGTTTCTCCCTTCTCTGATTTCAGTGGCTAGAGGGTGGCATCTGACAGTATTTTGGCTTTATATCACTGACTTTTCTAAAAAGTACTGTCTCATGAACCCCTGTGAAATGGGGGGGGGGGGGGGGGGGGGGGGTTGAGGAGTTTTTTCTGTTCCCCCACAAAGAGAGGAGGGATTTCAAATTCATTGGTAGTTTAGGGTGCTTAATTGTGGAAGCTTTCTGATTTCCTAATCTTTAATTTACACTACTTTTAATATGAAGAGAAATTATGTAAAGTAGATAAATTCCAAATACTTGTTCTATGTGCTGTTCCTCCAAAATTCATGCATAGTGATTCATCTTAGTGGGAAGTTACATGAAATTCTAATAGTAGAACAATTTGGGACATAAGTGGACTAATTTTTTTTCCCTGTAAAGCATGACCCGTATGAGCCATGAGTATGTAAGTTTGTAAGGTCTGCATAGAGGCCTTGGTATAGCATGATGCATCTAAAGCTTTCTGATGGCTTTGCTAATACACCTTCACTGAATTGAACCCTTGGATTAATGTGTTTGATCCTCTCCTGATTTCTGTACTTTTAACCTCCTTCAAGCTGAAAAAGACATGAAATGATAATCTCTGCCTTGGTCCTTTCTTCTTGTAGAAGCTGGAACACCTGCTACAAGGATGCCAAGGTGCTTGTGCCTTCCTCCAAGGAGCTATTCATAAAGTGGAACCTGGAAAATTACCAGATAGATCTGAGGTAGGCATGTCCCTCACCTTGTATCAGAGGTGGGCCTGAGACAGAAGAGAGCAGGAGGCTGGATAGCTACAGAAAAATTGTAGCTTTGAATTTGCAAGTTGTTGTAGCAGGGTATTCAGTGTGCTTGTGTCACTGCGGAGCTGTCAGGACAGTGGGACTAGTAGAAGCTAATCCAAATGAAGTGGTAGAGGCTCCACTGGGTGTAGAAGCTGTTTCTCTGATCCCTTGGTGTCACCCAGGAGACCTCTTCCTCAGCAGTGCTTGTTGCTGGTGGGTGCTTGCTCCAGCATTGGAGTGCATTCCTAGCAGCTCCACAGCTCCGTAGCTGGTCCTAGCTTTGGTGTCTCTAGTCCTGAGCAGCTGCTTCAGTCTGTGCCACACCAGGTTGGCTTGAATGGCCTGGAGTAAAGTTGGGTGACAACACAGACTGTGTTCACCAGGCCGAAGCTGTGCTGTGGTTCCAGCTTTGCTGCCTCCAGAAGAGAAGTTTGGAGGGTACAAAGACTGAGCCTGTGTTGCTGCCAGCATTATATTATAGGAAGTTGCTGACAGCTCTGCACTGAGGGTCCCAGCAGTAGAATGATGGCAGATATAGTGGTCCTTCTGGGGTGTACATCCCCATTCTGGATATGCAGCCACACACCTTCATGGACATCTTGTCCCGCTACTTGGAGCTGTGCAGGTTCAGGCTCGAAGAACAGTAGGAACTAGCTGTGAGTGAAAAGTGAGGCTGGGAAGCTTATTCTTTCTATGCCTAGCAAATGGAGTATGGACAATGATAGGAATTAGGTTTCAATTTTAGCCTGATGAGGAAAGTATGAAGAGTGTAAGGAGCACTCTTTATCACTTTGAACTTGGCAGGCTTGAGGGAAGCAGCTGTGGGAATCAACCTCCCTCTTTCCTAGGGTGGGCCAAGGTGAGATCTGGGGTGTGTGTGTTTTGGATTGGGCGCTGCTTTTTGCCTGTTCCCTCATTACGTGTAGGTTGCAGTAACTGCTCATCTCACTCTTGCAATCCCTCCAGGAGGCAGCTGTGCTGCTGAGAAATTACAGACAGTTGATGAAGAACGTTCTTGAAGATGCACGGCTGGTCAGGCTGCAGCTGGAGGGTGGAGCGCTCCTGGCCAGACTGAAGAAAGAGGAATCTTGTGTCACCCTTACCCGTGACTACAGGTGAGTCCCAAGAGTGGAAGAAGAGATGGAGATGGGCAAAAAGCAGGTACTGAGAGGCTCTGTGAGATGATCCATTGTTGCTGCGAGCTAGAGAGCAGCTTCGTATAGCAAGGCCTTTTGTTGAAAACAGCAAAGGTGGAAAGTGTAATGAATTTTATGCTGGCTGCCTCTTCCCCAGTCCAAAAACTTGTCTGGGTGGATTCATTTAGATGGTTGAAGTTCCTTTTCCAAGCCAAATCAGACTTTTCTTCTGTAGGGGAGAGTGGGCTGGATATTTTGTGCACCTCCAAAACACAAGCCTTAATTCACAATGTCAGTGATGAATGTTTAGGTCCAGGGCATTATCGCCGTGTGATTTGCCAAGGCACTCCTTATGCAAGGGGATTTCCAAGGACCTTAACTGTGAGGAATGCTTTCTAGCTGAAGCAAGCTCTGATCTCCTCGCACATTGGTACGGTTTGCACAAACAAATATTCACTGCCCATTTGCAGAATTGGTATGAGAAGCAGGGGCTGAGAGACACCAGCTGTTTGAAATCCCCAGGGCATTGCACAACTCCTGTTTGTACTGTTAAAACACCTGAAGCCTATCAGCGTGTGAAGGCCTCTCTGCTATGTGCTGTGCAAACAGCAAGGTAGAAAGACAGCCCTTGCACCCAGGGGCTTCCAGCCAGAGTGGGAGATAAATGCTGGCATGTGGGTGCAGACAAGGGCGTAGCGGATGGCAAGGCGGCGTGGAATGCCTCCACACAACCGCAGCCTTGCCCTGGTTAAACTCCCTGTTGCCATCACAAGCTGGGAGGTTTTAAGGGAGGGAACAGAGAGAAGATAACAAAATAGCTTGCAGGTTTATCCCAGCCAAACATGGGAAAAGAACTATGTTTCTCTTTGAAAATTCAGCAAATGGATGACAGTGCAAGTTGCTGCCTGTCACTGGGAGATGGGGGTCAGCATTTTGGTGCTGAGTGAGAGGGAGTGTGGGGACAGGTGTAACTGTTTCTTTTCCCTGCTTGCTCTGACTCCTGTCAGCAGCTCTGGCCAGCTGTGCAGACACAGTTCTCTTGCTGAACTAGTGAAGTACTCCTGATGCAATTTTGGGAATAATTAGTACAGTATAGCCTTTTTATTCTGCCATGATGTGAGAAGCACAGATGATATGGGTTGTTTTGGGGTTTTTTTAAGCAGCACACAGCAACTTTAGAGTCCTAGGAGAATGGATGTGCATGCTTTTTATGTTTTGTCTTGGTTTTAAGCTGGGCCTGTGTTCTTCTGCAGGGAAATGATCAACTTTGAAACCTGATCTGACAGAGCCCCTAAGGATAATTTACTGCTTTAATTATTTTAGCAAGGGCAGGGGCAGGGGATACACACACAATTCTTTGTCTGCACAGTGTCTGGGTGCCAAGGATGTGTAGCATGTTCTCTGACTGAAATTATATTTGTTGCTTGCTGGTATGAATGGAGAGTGTATGCTCCAGGTAAAATATATGTGACTGTCTCTAGCCTGAGGAGTGTAAATGAATATAGTGGGAGAAAGTTACTTCTCTTCTAGCTTGTGGAGTAGTTGCAGAAACTAAAATCCATGCACTATTTTAATTGAGGAAATGCTTGCTCGTCATGTAACTCGGGGCAGAGGACTAAGGAAGTCAACTCTTCCCTCTTTCATGATCATTTTAAATGGGGAAGAAGCTCTATAACTTGGCCAGAGAACTCTGAGGCACTGTTGGTGGAGCCTCCATGGCTCTGTACTTGCTCCTTCTCTCCAAACCAGTGTGCAGATACTAAAAGTTCTGAGTTCTGCTAACCCTATAAAGACTCCTATGGTTATAATTTTCAAAGGCTTCTTTAACAGGTAGGATCAAAGCAGGGTAGAGACAAAATATTGTAGTTGGCCTACTAAACTAGCATGAAGTGGCTGTTGATCTGTGTGGGCCCAGTACTAGATTTTTGACTGGTGATGTGTGAAAATGGAACAGGACTGGTTGTGTCTGTGCACTCATCAGGGCCTGTTGTACTGCTTTTCTGAATTTTTAATTGTAACATCTTGATCAATGCTTAACAGTCTTTAATTCTACACCTACTCTCCCAATACTTGAAATCAAATTATTTACAAAAGCAAGTCAAATGGCTTTACCCTTCTGAGCCACCTTTTGGCTCTTGTGTTAATTGTGTGTCCCACTGTTTTATCTTCTCTCCTGTGGTGCAAAAGCCTGATCAAGCAGAGGGTCATGACTGCCAAGACTTCTTGGTCAGAAGTTGATACCAGCTGTGATCAAGTAACTGAAAATGTGCAAGAGTTGCATATAAATAGAGGAAGAAAATTTATGAGCAGTTTCCTGGACTCAGCTCCACTTAATTAAAATATGCCAACCAAAAGTGCAGAGCTAAAGGTAAAAACATGCGATTTTCTTAAGAGGCATAAAGAAAGTAAGCCCAGCTGCACTGTCACCTTGGGATTAAACAAGCAAGAGATTGACTTGCTTTTTTTGCAGGGGATATGTTTTGCTAGCTCTCACAGCTGTCTTTCTTGCTAGCTTCATGTAATGAAATGAAGAGCGGGAGGTGGTAAGAATAGAGATGGACAAACCTGTCTGAAAACACTTGACTGCAGGTTAGAGATAGTATGCTAAAATAGGCAAGGAAGCCGGCTTGTGCTCTGTGCAGTCAGATGTTATCTGCCAAATACCTTTCTGGAGCACATAGCAAACAAGACTTGCTTTAGTCTTTCTTTAGTAATGAAACCCTTCTGTCGGGGTTGGATTTTGGCATATTTCCCCGCTCTTCCCTCCTGGAGAACCGAGATGCCCTTTGGAATGTTTTGTGACCCGGAGCAGTGGGATCTCATTGCTGCTCAGGTCTGACCCAGGCTTTGTGAGGGTTTGCTAAGCCAGTGACATGGCTTCTCTCCTGGATAAATTGAACTCATCCCATGAGAGATGTGGTCATGAAGGAGAGATATATTATGGTACATCCAGTTGTTTCTCTGGCACATGCTTTGAGCCTCTGGTAGTCCTTCCTGGATGGTCTTATCCTGAGAGATGCTGTAGCACCACAGTAGTGTCTTTGATTGGTAACACTACTCACTTTCTGTTCCTAGTGTGAGCTGATCAAGAGTCTGCACTGCTTTCTCTACCAAGTACTGCTGTAAAAGATAGCCTTACCTATCTAGCCACTTATCCACAAAGGGAAAGAAAGATGTCTCCAAGCAGTCTTTCTGGATCTCAGCCTTTTCCCAGCTTAGAAAGGAGGAGCTCTGTCACCAGAACATGTATCCTGCAGGCAGCCCATCATAGGGAGTTGGCTAAGGGTATGTGGTGTGCTCAGCTGGTCCCACACCACCCTCCTACCTCTAGGAAGACCAGGCTGAATTTGGCCTGGAGTTGGTGTGGGTGTGGTACTGATGAACCAGTATCCTTGTGGCGCCTCTTGAAGTGCTGTAATGATAGTTTCAGCAGAGGCTGGCCACCCAAAGGTGCAGGTGGACTGCTGAAGGTGACATTGTCACTTATTCATTGTTGGTGGAGATGGCTGGCTTTAAAGCCAGCACATTTGCCTTCACACCATCTGCTGTGCTGAAGGCTCAGTGCTTCTCCAGGTCTGTTAGCTGAAAGCTTCCAGGTATTGCTGTCTCAGTCTTTTTGGGCATTGAAATGCAGATCTGTAAGCCTAGCTGAAGTTCCTGTCAGTAAGTGTGAACAAATACCATGGAGACATCCATTACTTTAATGCTATTAATACTTACTTTTGCACAGGAAATTTTTAATAAACAGTCTTTTTAATAAGTTACATAGAGTTGGCTAGCAGGTCTGTCTTTGGCTGCTGGATATCTAATGTATTGATCAACCAGTCTGTGGTTCGCAGGCAACTCACTAAGCCAGTTGTGGAAGGTGGACTAATGCATCGCTTATTTTGTGGTGGATTTTGAAGACTTCTCCAGGCTTATGATGGAAATGTCAGAGAAGCTGCCAGAAGCCAGACAGCAGCAGTGGGAGCTCTTAATAAAGTGAGGCAGTTGTGTGGGGCTGGGCAGCAAGACAGGGAGACTTTTAACCTGGTCTTTAGCCAGACATTTTCCACTGTTTTCATTATTGCTGCTCTTCCAGCATAGCCAAGAGCTGGGAATGCTTGCCTAGACAAAGTGTCCAGTGATGTCTTTTGTCCTCTAGATACGCTATGAGTCAGAAGTGGAGTAATGAAGATACAAACATTTTATATTAAGATGCTTTATGCTAGTTGAACCAGAACACACCTGGCACATGCCTGGCTCTACCAGCCAGGTGTGTTCTCAGTGTTGCATGGGAGTGGGATTGCATCATGCTCTGCATGTTGGTGGGCAAGATAGCCACAAGACTAGATTTGAGAGCTGAAAGAAAAAGGAAAAACCTTGGATGGTAATGGAATGACTAGGTTAGGTGCTGGGCTGTGTGCAACATGGAACCAGCAAAAGCATAATCTCTTCCCCCAAGCTCCTCATCTGAAAAGAATTTGTGCTTGCAAGCTGTGAATAAGCAGCTTATAAATAGACGGAGGAGTGAACTCTCCTTTTGTTTGCAGAAGGCAGTATAGTTAGTCTCTGTACTTTGAGGGTGGAGTGGCTAGAGCTGGTTTTGTGAGCTGGCTATTTTTAGTGTGGCTTGGTGATCTGGTTGGAAGCCCTGGGTGGGGACCTGACTGAGCAGAGGTAATGGGCAGTACAGAGCAGGCTTCCTGAGCAGCAGCTGCCAGGTTCCCGATGCTGGACCTGACTCAATTGCAGCAACAAAGAGGGTGATCTTATGGCTAACAGCCTCCACAGTTCTTGTGCCTGGCTTCCACACACAGTATTGAGGCACTAGGTCTGCTTGAGGCTGTGGCCAGTTAACGTAGGGGTGTCTGCTGTTGATGAAGCACTGGGTTATAGCTGGGTGGTGCTGTAGGAGTTCATGTCTGTGGGTCTTTAGCTTGTTAGTAGCAACTCATGGGATGCTCCAAGGAAGGCATGTGCCACTCTGCAGAGTGGTG